CGAATGGTCACAAAAGTTCCCACATGATGACTATCCCAGTTAGGTCATTCAACCACCTGCCTATAGGTAACCAGTTCCTCGTACGCAAGAATTACCAATTACTGCCAGTTTTAAAGAAGCTCTCAGGCAACAGTTTGAAACTGTTTTTCAAAGCAATGCTATTTTACTACTCTATGACAAAATCGCAAATCTCATACTTTTATTGGGGTGTTTTGTTGAACACATCCTGGTAAGTTTTTTGCCCAAAGAATGTGATTCCAGCTTTCCTGACTTGTTATAAACTTTTTCTGGAAACGCACGCACCGATTCTGCGTGGCATGCAAACAGCTTCATTATTTGGCTGTTTCGCTAAACACTTCATCTGGAACATCCGGAATGTCTGGTTGAGCGATATTCATCATTGCACTGCTTCTGTCTGCAAATCATTTGCAACGCCCGAAAGAATATGGATTTGAAAATATTGATTCGATTTGATTGATTACTCTTCACAGCCTGCTGATTTTAGCCTGCGGACCAGTGTAATTATAACGTCAGCCGTAGAAGAGTACGTGTCAAGTTTTTAGGAGACGTCCGCGTCCAATCAATCGGAAATTTACAAAACAACACTAGTTAGCATTCGGTGTGTGATGAGCTGGGCACGTTCTGGTCAAAATCTGTCAATAAAGTAGAACGTGCATCTGAAATTTAGCAGGCAGATGGTACACAGTCAGCTATAAAAATGGCCGGACAGGTGAGGCCTTCTAGTTAACTGCAGCTTGAAAGCTGTTCAACAGAGAATGTTGATAGAGTCTGGTCGAATCGTACCTTTGTCGGCGGAGATGATGTCTGAATTCACGGTTTCATATGACATGAGAATGAATGTGTAATAATTGTTATATGATGTTTTATCGCTCATAGTACCATATTTACTTTATAGTGCCCTGCCTATTAGTGAAAGGAAGAACTCAACTGCGCACTGATGATGTCTCCTCGTACGGTGACGAAACGTTTGCAAGCCAATTGCCAAGCTCGGCGAACAGATCAACAGCCACCTGATCAACAACCAATAAGGAAGAAGTCTTCCACTGCGGAGTTATTTATTAGAAAATGCCAAATGAACAATTAGCGACTATTGGACAGGGGGAAAAAACTCTCGTGTGCATCTTGTTTACAAAAACTGAAAAACCATCCTTTCTTTGAACGCGTCTTCCTGAACTTTCTGGATATTCATTGACTGTTGCTAAATCCAAGCTATAAAGCTACTCCGCAAATTCTGTAATAAATCTCACTTTCCAAGAGACATGGAGCGGATGTACGAGAAAACAAACTACTCGCATGCTCTCCATCAGTAGTATCATCGTTACATTCGGCTACTTTTGAAATATAGTTATCACACAAAGATCTGTGAAGACAATATTTCACTAACTGGCTCATTTTCTGGTCCGAAATTCATCTCCCTTTGCTTCCGTCCAATTGTTCACCTTCTAAGGATCTTGTCAGCTGGTATTTCTGAGGTTCGTTTCCATGTGAACAACATCACTGGTAATAGGGCAAGTTCCACGACAAAACTCTCCAGCATACTGGTCATTTGGCACACTCCTATCTCATGAAAAAATTCAAAAATAAGAGGTTTATGTACGGCGTAAGTTGCAAATGACTTGTACCTGGTCTAAACTGCGAAATCTTGGCGTTCTTTTCTGCCTACATTCCTAGATATTTCGCGTTACATCAACCCGCACTCAAAAGATTATGAGGGAGCACAATGGGCCAGTGACTCAGGCAATAGCCATATTATGCCTGAGTGCACACTACACACACACAGGTGATCGTGGCGCTAGGCAGAAAGATTATTAATTTATGCAGTGATACTCACGACCGAGTGTACTTATGGCTTTGTAGATCTGCCTGTTTCTTGTCCTTCAGTACATGTGTTCCACCCGACACGGGCAAGGACACATGATGTTGGAGAACTCTTTCAGTTCATTGCTAACAAGCTCGAGATCCTACATTTAAAGTACCGGGTAAACTGGGTGTCAGATGCAACGTGGACAGTTGTGCAACGAATATTTTCCCACACTATCTGAAATGACAAACGCTGGCACTTAATGGAAGTGGGCAATTCAAACTTGAAAAGCATTTGTCTTCCCCTTCGTTTATTAATTTAGTCGAAGGCGAGGACAGACCTCCCCCAAACAAGGCGTATTTGAGTGTAATTTCCTCTCGTTTTCGACGACAGTCCAAGGAAAATAAGCCAAGGTTTGAAAACCCGAGGGACTTAGGGCCAGTATCCCTCTCCACGGCGGCTCGCTTGGCACGTCTAATGAGAAACATGTCTTTGCGGGTCCTGGGCAGATATTTTGGTTGGTATATTCAAGAAGCATCCTGAAGTAGGTTCTGAAGACCCTGTGGTCCATGAATCCAATGCAGTCAGATACCTGTTGGATCGCCTGAAGGACAACAAACGCCATTCAAGTGGGCTATTTGTGGTGGAGATTCAAAGACACACACAAGGCGATTCGGTCGTCTGAGCCCCTTTTGGTATCCATTCTCCACGTGAACAAAGACGTTTTTTTTCCAAATTTCCACTGAAACAGTTATGGTCAGTCAGCCGAGGGTGTCGATCCACTGGCTTTGGAGTCCAATTCAAGTGCACTGATTTTGGAACCGCAAGATTTCAGATCGTTCGCAAAAACTAAAGGCATCACGGAGGTAACTAGCGTATACTTCAAGATGGAACCTGAGAAGCTTCATGGGACACCGGTGCAGACCTATATGGATCCGAATTTCACTCGAACTGTTCCGCTTACAAACAAAGCCTTAAACTATATATGATTTCACCTTGAATCCTGTGGGCTGTAACGCAGTGAATAGCGTTAAACTTGATCGAACTTCTTTGACAGATTGAAAAATAGTGGTTTTGAAGACTAGCAGGATACTTGCTTCTTTTCAGTCCGGAGGAAGCTCCTGTGAGTGGCTGAGAAAACTTCAAGTGGAAACACTCCCCCCCTGCTTGCAAACAAATTTAGTTTTAACGAGAGGATTAGCTGAATCCCGGTTGAATGTCCCCTTTACGATAATCTTCATATGAATGCGTTACACAATGACCGTCTCATGTTTCAATCGATACGATATTTAGCTGAACATTATACCGTAAACCAGAGATTCAACTGGAAATCAGGTGAGTGAATACCAAAATGTGGCCAAAACAACTGTATACCTCCAAATTCGTAGCATTTGGGATAAGGTAGAACATAAGGGCGACGGATGCATTTTATGAAGACAGTCACAAGGATCTGCCGTCTTGGGGAGCTTGTTAGTCTTTTATTACGGCTTGTAAACGGTGGATGTGATAAAGTACTTTCGAAAAGATGCAAAACTGCATAGCGTACTCGGCTGTTCGCTTCCACGGGCTAAGAATACGGCCGTCGACTTGCTGTTTAGGCGGTTTCCCGTATCACGCATTCATGCACTTTCGTTCTTTTTGGGGGTCTGTCCTCATTGTGGAAGACAAATTGAATAGAGCGGTTTGTTTGTGGAACCTGAACACAGTTACTTTGAATTATGCAGTTGAGAAGGCAGTAACAATTCAGAGTTGGGTACAAGAAAGCAGATGATTTGATGGTGCCTAATGAACTATTCGTGAGTGCGACAGAGGAAAGTCCACAACTTTACGTATAGAAGCACACACTGCATTGGTCACCACTGTGCTCATAAGATTGAGAAAGTAGCGGTGGTAGGAAATTCGAAGTCATTTCCTGGAAAACAAAACAAGCCAACCACTGAGTAGTTACGAAATATCTCTGATGAGTGCGGCTGGGGGCGACCTGGCTATCTACACTTCTGATACATGGGAAAGACACAAAGATCGCTGTAAACCAAGATAAACATGTCGAAAAAGCATCCGATTTCCAATCGGTCCACCTTACAAAGCCTTAGATAGATGACCTCCCCCCCTCCCCGAACAAAAATGAAAACAATTTTTGAAATCTTGGAGCCACTTAGTAGTTGGTAATTCCTTCGATTTCAAATCAACCAGGACGTTTCTCCGACTTACCGAAAATCCAAAAATTACTTGTTCATTCAAGTTTCATTGCGAATTACACAGACAACAAAACACGATGTTTATCAAAGTGTTCCAAACAAATGTTCATCTCCCTGTGAAAGAACAACCTGAATCCTTATTTGGAAACGTTTGTGAACGATGGTAGGAAATTCGAAGTCATTTCCTGGAAAACAAAACAAGCCAACCACTGAGTAGTTACGAAATATCTCTGATGAGTGCGGCTGGGGGCGACCTGGCTGTCTACACTTCTGATACTTGGGAAAGACACAAAGATCGCTGTAAACCAAGATAAACATGTCGAAAAAGCATCCGATTTCCAATCGGTCCACCTTACAAAGCCTTAGATAGATGACCTCCCCCCCCCCCCCCAAACAAAAATGAAAACAATTTTTGAAATCTTGGAGCCACTTAGTAGTTGGTAATTCCTTCGATTTCAAATCAACCAGGACGTTTCTCCGACTTACCGAAAATCCAAAAATTACTTGTTCATTCAAGTTTCATTGCGAATTACACAGACAACAAAACACGATGTTTATCAAAGTGTTCCAAACAAATGTTCATCTCCCTGTGAAAGAACAACCTGAATCCTTATTTGGAAACGTTTGTGAACGATAGTACTGTCTCGCTGCAGTCCGATTTAGGAATCAACTAGTGTGGTTCCCTAGCAGCAAACCACCCGGTATCTAATGGCGTCGCATGGCAAACAACGTTCTCTGAGCAAAACAGTTCACGGGTATGCACTTCCCAAAATGCTGTAGCATATATTTGAGATATACAGCCACGCAGATTTTGATAGTGAACCGGCTCATGAATAACCCTGAGCCGGATGCACTCGTTTCCAATATGGTGGCAACGCATGGATGACACTTCCATCGTTGTGAAATCGTATTGGACGAAGTCGCCCTCAGAACCGTGAAAACGACAAATAAAAACAGAAGTTTGCCATTCTCGGACCGCTATGTTGAGGCACATCCACACAGAACAGCAACAACACCGATTACAACATGCGTTTTTGCTGATCTCGTCTTCAACCTCTGAGGATCATAGGTATGAAAAAACTCAGCTGCTTTAGAAAAACAATCAGGAAAAGATAATCGAGACAACACACTTTTTTAGAACAGTGAATGACGCACAAAATTAATGAACAGTAGCTCGAAAGATCCCTTTGTGGAATCACGATTCCACTGTCAGACTACCTACATTTCTCTAGTAGAAACAAAAATCCTGAAGTCTTTACCCATTCAACGTAAAAACGCACTCATTTTGCTGAATATCTATCCATATATAAAGAATGAATACCCAGGGTATACAGGAATATATCGTAAACTGTAAATCGGAGTTAAATTACCACGACTGTGGTACAATTTATACAGAGTATAAACTTACTTATTAGCAAAACACATGAAATTGGAACACACACTGGAGCTACGAGAACGCAATGAATGATACCAGTCTTTAACCTCGAAAAACCAGGGTTGTTCCAGGGCCTGGAACACTTTGTGTTGAATTCCTTTCGACATTAACAGATTTACGAGAAACAGAAACAAAACCCAACCATCCATTGACAGGCCGACGTTCGCAGCACGCAGTGGCCGATCAAGCACTCGTCAAAAATACCGGTGTAACGGTGGATACTACTGATGAAACATGCGAATAGTATGTGGTCTTTTGATAAACCAGTTTCGTGTCCATTGAAAAGTGAGATTCATTGCAGAATTTGTGGAATAGCTGTGTAGCATTCGTTTACTCTTGAGTGATAGTGAATGAGTATCCACGAAAGTTCAGCAAGAAGCGTTTGAGAAGAAGACGGATACAGTGTTTTTATAAACAAGATGCATATGAGAGGTCTACCTTCCTTTCCATTAGTAACTGTTCTGCTGGTGTTTTCCAATAAATAACTCCGCGGCGAAGGCCTTCTGCTCTCACCAGCACCATTCAGTGCGGCAGCTCGACGGTTAAAAAAACTCAGCTTACCCATACTGGAGATTGACCTGGCCTGCATTCAAGAACCAGTCTTTATCTGACCCTACGACCAGTTTTTCATTCATTACAGATTTCTTTGCCAGCTTGTAAGATATTTGTCAACCCCGGTGAGCAGACAAACTACCATCTGAGTAAATCACTAGGCATCTGATTAAGATGACTGTAAAATGGTGAACTTCCCTTCAGATGCGGGATGTTTGGTTTAGTGTCTCCACAACCATGCTCACTTTACTCGGGTCTTAATAGATTCACATCCACATCATTGTGTCATGAGTATTTTGACGGTTGCTCTAAGAATGCTTTCTTTTTCCGAAATATTTTAGGGGCCACCGCAAAATAATTGATGAAAGAGTTACTCTGTGTCTCGTGGCCAGCTTGAGTGTACCATGACCAAGTCATTCCCGGTGTGGTTTTTAACACCGTGGCTCTGTTATCTACTGGCCAAAACTTCATCTTTTTTACATCCTTAAATAAAGAGTAATTTGCATCCCGTCGATAATTTACATTACAATACAGTAGAGTAGAAGAGGGCTACTTGATTGGGCATGAATGAAACAACACAATTCAATCATACATCATCAAATGACTGATATATATAAAACACACCAGGAGTGAACAGTTTAACAGACACTGCTTAGAATTCTGCTGCAATGTGTGCCCACCCTTCTTGAGAAATGAGCACGCCGCGTGGTCTGTGACGAACGGAGTAAGATCAGTAGAGTTCACGGTGTCTCATAATAAACGCGAAAAATAATACCCATAATAAAACTGACTAATATTTAAACACATATTATTCTTTAGTTTAACATATATACACTGTGGAAATTTACTGTAAAGAAACTTACATTACAAAAGATGTCGAACTAAACCCCCCTGTTCTTCTACAACAAGTTGGAGGCAGTGTGAGATGTGAGAGACGGCATGTTTAACTTCAAGCGTCACTCGTGCACACTCCTCTTCAATGCTTGCTCTTAACTCTACCAAATTCCTCGGTTTAATTTTATTATATACGTGAGCCTTGATCATTCCCCAGAACCAATGATCCAGAGGTGTGAGATCGGGTGACCTTGCGGGCCGAAAGTTTGGAAATCCACGAGCAATCACTCTCTCATCACAAAATTTCTGTCGGAGGTTAGTTCTTACTTGGTTTGGGTAGTACGGTGGGGCGCCATCTTGTTGAGAGACGGTTGATGACTTCTTGTGCTGCTTGAGTTGCGGGATAACGTGCGTCTGCATCATATGGGGGTAACTTTCGCCGGAAACTGTCTTCGGTCTAAAAACTGGTTTATCCCCACGTTTTGGACCGTTGGAAAAAACAGATTATTCGTACAGCTTTTTACTTGTTTTTCATTTTTTAATCACAACCCTCTACAGCGTGGCAAAAACTCCGCATGACTGATATTATGTTGATTGCCATGTAGGCATTCAAAAACTACGAATCACGATATTATGACTTCAATTTTGGCGTTTGTGTTGCGTCACTGTCCTGTCTCTTGTTCCATATTCTCTTCGGTGCGACAGTATCTCTCTGTGCATCCATTCTCAATAGAGTATCAGAACGCGATGCAAGCTTGGAAGCTTTATTTTTCAGTTTTCAAGTTTATTCACCTTCTTCCGAGTCGGTCAGCAGGGTTGGAACTGAATATGTGCGGTTGTACGATGAATCTGGTTGCTTATACCTTAAAAAGAAATTCCGATAGGCGCAAATTTAAATGTTCTCTGCTTAGGTGAACCTTGGTTTACTCTTTTCTTCTAGCAGCAAACTGTAATAGATGTCACGTAGTTTATAGGTTGTGCACGTTTCGGTACACAACAAATGCGTCTCTAGGAGCTTAACGGGTAATGAATCCGATACCCAAAATCATCGATATACCAGTCAGACAAGTGTGCGATGCATCCAGATGGGTATGTCTCTTCTGACGGAACTTTCTAACCTCAAAGTTGTTTCCAAAGATAAACAGATAACAATATGATCGAGAAATAATTGACAGCCAGGCGGTAGAACTGGTTTGTTTACTCCTGTCCACCATTCAACTTTATCAAACGATGAGGATTTATCTGAAAGGAATGTGAGGCTGGTTTTATTGTGGTTGAAAAAAAGGCTAGGTTACAAACGAAGTCGGTCGAGTTATCTGCCATTAGGATATAGGTTGGCTTCTGTCATGTCGCCTGACTGTTGCCCAAAGGAAATACCGAGGTAATGGTGATACTGCTGATGGGAAGGCTTGCTCTTAACTCTACCAAATTCCTCGGTTTAATTTTATTATATACGTGAGCCTTGATCATTCCCCAGAACCAATGATCCAGAGGTGTGAGATCGGGTGACCTTGCGGGCCGAAAGTTTGGAAATCCACGAGCAATCACTCTCTCATCACAAAATTTCTGTCGGAGGTTAGTTCTTACTTGGTTTGGGTAGTACGGTGGGGCGCCATCTTGTTGAGAGACGGTTGATGACTTCTTGTGCTGCTTGAGTTGCGGGATAACGTGCGTCTGCATCATATGGGGGTAACTTTCGCCGGAAACTGTCTTCGGTCTAAAAACTGGTTTATCCCCACGTTTTGGACCGTTGGAAAAAACAGATTATTCGTACAGCTTTTTATTTGTTTTTCATTTTTTAATCACAACCCTCTACAGCGTGGCAAAAACTCCGCATGACTGATATTATGTTGATTGCCATGTAGGCATTCAAAAACTACGAATCACGATATTATGACTTCAATTTTGGCGTTTGTGTTGCGTCACTGTCCTGTCTCTTGTTCCATATTCTCTTCGGTGCGACAGTATCTCTCTGTGCATCCATTCTCAATAGAGTATCAGAACGCGATGCAAGCTTGGAAGCTTTATTTTTCAGTTTTCAAGTTTATTCACCTTCTTCCGAGTCGGTCAGCAGGGTTGGAACTGAATATGTGCGGTTGTACGATGAATCTGGTTGCTTATACCTTAAAAAGAAATTCCGATAGGCGCAAATTTAAATGTTCTCTGCTTAGGTGAACCTTGGTTTACTCTTTTCTTCTAGCAGCAAACTGTAATAGATGTCACGTAGTTTATAGGTTGTGCACGTTTCGGTACACAACAAATGCGTCTCTAGGAGCTTAACGGGTAATGAATCCGATACCCAAAATCATCGATATACCAGTCAGACAAGTGTGCGATGCATCCAGATGGGTATGTCTCTTCTGACGGAACTTTCTAACCTCAAAGTTGTTTCCAAAGATAAACAGATAACAATATGATCGAGAAATAATTGACAGCCAGGCGGTAGAACTGGTTTGTTTACTCCTGTCCACCATTCAACTTTATCAAACGATGAGGATTTATCTGAAAGGAATGTGAGGCTGGTTTTATTGTGGTTGAAAAAAAGGCTAGGTTACAAACGAAGTCGGTCGAGTTATCTGCCATTAGGATATAGTTTGGCTTCTGTCATGTCGCCTGACTGTTGCCCAAAGGAAATACCGAGGTAATGGTGATACTGCTGATGGGAAGACAGGCGAGCAGTTTGGGTTGTCCGTGGAATTTCGCCTTGCGTCTTTTGAAAAGTAGATCTGTTGCGGAATTCGTGGAGTCACTTTGTAACATCTGCTTGGATTTGAGCGAGGAATGATTGGAGTCAATGAATCTCCAGGAACGTTCAAGTGGACGCGTTCAGAAGATGGATGTCCAGTTTTTGTAAATAAGATGCAGATGAGAGTTTTGCTTCTCTGTCCAGTGGTCTATAACTGGTCAGTTGGTATTTTCTAGTGGATAACTCCACAGCAAAGGCCTTCTTTCACAGGTACACAATAGTTGACTGAATAAACACTGGAAAAGACCACTGGAAGTTCGTAAATCAATAATTTGTGGTTCTTCCTGTCATCGAAGTATATTCATATCGCACGCACGACCAGCACTTTGATTCCCCAATAGAGAATGCTGGACACGCAATATAGTCGGAGCATTTTGAGAATGAAAAAAGCAGAATGATGCTTTAATTTTCGTTGTACTTGATTTTCGTGGGAAAAGTGTGACAATGAACAATCTGTGTGCCTCGAATGTTGTGCGGTAATATACAAATAATTTACACTTTT